AGATATCCAATTGACCCAGCACCATTTGGGGGGAAAATACCTCTCTCCACCACCATGCAGTACCACATTTTTTATTAATCAAGTGTTCATATATGTTTGGATCTGTTTCTGGACTCTCTATTCTAATTTACTGATCAATGTGTCTATCTTTATGCCAATACCATAATATCTTAAATAACAAAGTCTTACAAGTCTTGGTATTGGGTAGTCTAAATCTTCCAACTTTGTCCTTCTTTAAGACTGTTTTGACCATTGATTTCCATTAATATGGAAAGGTCTTTGGCATTTCCATATTAATTTTAGAATCAACTTGAACTTAACATAGACACAGATACACAGACATACACACACACACACACAGCTGATATTTTTATTGATATTCTATTGAATCTTTCAATCAATTTGGGAAAGAATTGACATTTTTACAAAACTGGGTCTTTAAATCCATAAACATCCCTCCATTTAGGGTTCTTAAAGTTTCTCTAAGCAAACTTCTATAATTTTCTCTGCAGAAGTCTTACACATAATTTGTTATATATGTACTTGGTGTTTTAAAAGTTCATGTTATTGTAAATGGTGTGAGTAATTTATTTTCTAATATTTTCAATTGGTATATAAAAATATAATTGGTTTTTGTATATTGAGCTTATATTCATCAATCTTGCTAAATTCAATTATTAATTTTAATATATCATCTGTTGTGTTTTGAATTTTCTAGGCACATCATATGTCATGTTACACTTAAATTTTATGCCTTTTAATCATGTGATTTTTTTCCTCTTTTCTTTTGTCAATAGGATGAATTATGTTGATTTATATTTGAGAATTCAATATACAAACAAACAAAACCAAAAACATGGGCATAAATCACAGATCCAGTGCACTCTTCCAACATGTATGTATTTACCACTTCTAATGCACCAGACACATTGCTGGGTGTCAAGGACATAAAAATGAATTCAAACAGTTATTACCCTTGGGGCCCTCACAGTCTAGTAAAGATAGAAATAGTTAAGGTGAAATAAGTGCCCAACTAAAGAAAGTTCAAAACACTATAGAAAAGCCAGCAACTGACTGTGTTTAGAGAAATCAGGAGCAGCTTTAGATCCTTAAAACTGGGTCTTCAAAGAGGAAGATGACAATAATGATAATAAGCTAACATTTCTCGGATGTTCTCTCCATGTCAGGCACCCTCTTCCACGTTTTCACGTGTATCACCTCATATACTTATTAAAACAACCGTATAAGGTAGGTACTGTTAACATTCTCCCTTTACAGAGAAGACATAGAGAGATTAACTACCTTGAACATGGAGAGACTGGTTCAAAGGAAGCCAGACAGTGACAAACATATCCATCAAAGTTATCTTCCAAAAGGACAAAGTGGTTTTCTTCCTCTCACTAAGGGTAATGTCTGAATTACAGCAATGCTAGTGAGCACAAAGAGAAGGAAGTTGGTTTTAGAGAGGTCTGGGGGGTATAGTCTACAGATTTAGGCTAGCTGGAGCAGCACTGGAATGGTGGGGTCTGTTTTGTTTTGCTGAGGGTCATATACAATTGTCGGTGATTCTGAACCAGCACTGAGCAGTAGGCACAATTGCCTCTGACAACGGGGGGACACTCATAGGCCCTGCCTAACCTCTCCTAGGAAATCTGAAGCAGCTAGGGAGAGAAGTTGCAGGGCAAGAAGAAAGGGAACAAGCAGTTGAGTGAGAGAAACAAGGAGAGAGATAGCTTGAGAGGCTGGCAGAGAAAAACAAAGCTTTGGCTGTTTGCCAGTGAAATGAAAGGGATTTTTTTTTAACCCCAAATTATTGTAGTTTGCCAAAAGAATTTTTTATCCTGGGCAGGTGGCAGTANATATGGTTGTCAGAAAAGTCATGATGTATTTTTTTCTATGTTTTTCGATGCAAAAATGCATCATGACTTTTCTGACAACCCAATATATATATAATTTTTTATTTTTTCCAATTCCCTGAAGCATAATGTTTGAGTGAGGCAGTATGAGATAGCGATTAAGAAAATCTGCTCTGGAATTAGACTGTCTTGGTTCAAGTTTCAACTCTACCATCAGTGATGTTACCTTGAGCAAGTTACATACTTTTTTTAGCACTGAATTTCCTCATCTGTAAAATGGGGGTTAAAATGTTAACTATCTCAGAGAGTTATGAAGATTAAATGATAGAATGTTGGAATGTCTGTAAAGCATATTGCTCCACATGGAGTGAACACTCAAGAACTGTTAAAAATTATGATACAGTTAATGTTCAAAGCAAGGTTAGTTCTGTTGCCTGCTACCAATGGAGTATATCTAGTTCTAATAAGCTTAATTTTCATGTGATTCCTCTTTCTAAAGTTCATTTCCAGCATTATACGAGATGTTTGGGGGCATGACTGTCAAAACACACAAGTTTCACCAGAAAAACTCAACAATCTTAAAAAACCATTCCCTTGTGTCCCTATTTACTACAAACAAAAAAATAGCTGTAAGTCTAAAGCATGCTCATACAAGTATTTTCTAAAACACCTAATATCCCACCAGGGAGGTAAGTCATGATATGTTACAAGACATATATAAAGAAATGCAAGTCTTTTAGCATGTATCAGGCAAACTACAGTCTTAATTATGAAAGAACAACAGATGTTTACAGTTAGGAATGAAATGTAAGTCTGTATGTGAGACTGCCATTGGACATCGACAGATAACACCTGATGTTTCTTATGGACTTCCTCTTCTCTTTCAACTTATATTTAAAACTCTGTACATGTAATTTAATGCTTTGCAGTAGGGGCTCAAATTCCCATATCTTAGAAATTCTTTACGTTCAATAATGTACCAATGTATTTCTGCAAATTAAGCCAACTGATAAAAAAGTTCTCTTAAAATTCAAGTCTTGACAATTTACAGAATACTAAATCGTTTAAGTAGCAGTGTTTTAAAGTTTAAGAGGCAAACTTGGGGAAAGCAAAAAGAGCAAACAGATGCATTAGTTATGTTATGCCTCTTAGAAAAAGAACACATTTTCATTGTGTTTCAATAATTTTAACTAATGCCTCCATCCTCTTGACTTTTTTTTTTTCTTTCATGACTTCTTTACTTCAACCACTGATATATTCTTGCTTAGACTTCTTAGGTTTGATATTTTCCTGACTAGGTTTTTGAGGGAAGGGGAAGGAGCAGGGAGGGAGAGAAAAATTGTAAGCTGCTTTGGCCCCCAATTCCCTTATTCTGGGTAAAGTGCAGCCTATTTCAGAACCATCCAGGCAGAAAGATGCATGTTCAGTACATGTCTAATAATGCACATTCTTTCTTCCTTTGCATTTAATCCGTGTGTAAATGCATAGATGTAAATATAGAGATGTAGTGGGAAAGTCTGCACTAGGAGTTAGGAGGTCTGAGTTTTAGTCCTGACCCTGCAAGAAACTCACCCTGTGACTTTATTTGTCTTCTCTACTCCCCCTGCCCCCACTTCAATTTGCAAAAGGTAAGATAAGAGAATTCTATTAGTTGCTTTATGAGATCCCTTATCACTTCAAAATTATTGGTTCTTATTTAAAGGAATAAATATTTGCTCATTATTCTGATTAATGTTGATTCATCAGGAGTCTGCACCTATAAGATTATACAAGAGTATGAGACATAAGTTGATGAGTACTAGACATAAAAATGGGGACACGTAAAAAAGATATGGGTGTATTTTAAAGTAAATTTGTATTCCTTTAAAAAAGATGTTTGAACAATTAGGTAATATCTTACCAATTATTTGGTGGTTGCTATTCCAAATAGGTACACAGAGAACCGATCTTATATGAAAACCAGATATCTGGTCAGCCTAGAATGTAAGAAAGCAGTTAATTAAAATCAAATATTATCTCCCCTATTTCCAACTTATATCTTACCACTCTTCATAATACCGTAAATATAGTTTTTAAAAAGTTTAAAAAGACATATTCTAACTTAATTTTTAACGCATACATGGCCTATCTCTTTTAGTTTAAACATCACAGTGAACATTCCAGGAAAATCAAGTCCTAACCAAGTATCAATCAACCAAACACCCCACACCAACACTACCTCCTTAATCCCTGCAGCCACAGAGAGCTGGATGTAAACCTGTTTTTATGACGATCACACCACCACACAAGAATTCAGGCAACAGTTTCTGCTCTGAGTATTTAAAGCATTTTAATTAAACCAGTGGTCAATATTTCTCTTTGATTAAACAAATCTGCTAGTAAAAATGATTGTGTCTGTATTGCTGCCATATGTATATTTACTGTAAATACTCTATATTTTAACATTACTAATTTATTGTGTATGTTGTAAAACCATATAAAAATTGAAGTTGCAAAAGATAAGATAAATGTAGACATTCCAAAATCTTCCTTCTGTACCCTAAGGTTGTCAGGAAATGATATATTTAAAATATGAAGGTATAATTATCAGCATCAAACAAACATTCAGTAGCAAACTCTACTTAATATTAAAAACCAATAGTCCATATTTGAACTATCAGATAAGAGCTACTAAAGACTGAAAGGGTGTCAGTGAGTTAATGTGACCTTGGTTTCTAGTGAAAAAGGTCAACCTGCCATCCCAATATTATAGGAGAAAAAATAATATATCAAGGTTTTGGATCATGATAATTGGCACAAAA